CAGAGTGCTGCGGATGCACAGAGGGATGTTCATGCTGGCTTCTTAAAGGGAAGAGTGATCTAAGCCAGGACCCAAGGAATAAGCAGGAATAAGTCAAAATAGTGATAGAAAAGGTCTTCAGGCCGAGGGAACAGCATCTGTGAAGGGCTGGAGGTGCCGAGGGGACAGCCGAATCGGAGGACAGGGAAAAGTTAAGTCATGAATTTACATCAGTGAGTTTGGACTTGTAAAGTGAGTGCTTTTCCATGGAAAAGTTTTAAGCAGAGGAGTGAAATGATGTGGCTTATGTAAGAAAGTTGATCAGGAAGATGGTTGTCTGGAATGTGGACATCAGACTGAAGAGGAACAAGGTGGGTAGACCAGTTGGTGGCATCCGTGGTAACTCAGATGCATTGGAGACCTGAGGCTGCAGGGGGTTAGATGACACACCACAGTGATATGGTGGAGGTGCATGTGCAGGGAAAAGCAAAGCTGAGACTTAAGCCGACTTAAACCAAGGTCGTCTATTTCCACACGCAGCACTCTTTCCACTGTATCCACGTGGCCGGGCATCTGTTCAGCTCCCAGTGTGTGCAGAACCACTCTGCTCACTGCTGAATGAAGGGACGTGCAGGAACACTTGACCTGGTCCCTGTACTCCACTATCTTGCTCGATGTCACTGTCCCCAGCTCCATGCTTGGATTGGGCATTACAGTAATGGTAACAGAGCAGGTGGAGGGAAGGGATGGATACCTGTCACCAGCAGAAATATGACTGGGTGGACCCCAGGGCCCAGCAGGGAGCTGAGGTGGTTTGACATTTGGTCCTTATTACCATGAGTGAGAAGTAATCAATGAGCATTGGTCCATTAAGCCCCATTTTTGCTAGAACGAATTAAATACATTCTATGAGGGCATTTTACGTTGACCCCTTGATGGAAGCTTCTCTGCCTCTGTGCATTCCTTGGTTAGGGATGAGAATCTCTGCTGCCCACCCTCTCCACCCTTCAGCAACACGCAAGGCCCGCGGGCCTTCCTGGCCCCAGAGGGTCATCAACAATTCCACAAACCGTGGATATCCATGGAGACGCATTAAGGAAGTGGGTCAGCTGTTAGGTGTGCCAATTTGGATGGTCAAATGGGGAAATGGCATAGCAGGAATGAAGTAAAGAAGATGAGCCTGGGCTAGAGCAAGCGTGAGAAACAGAGTCAGAAACGCGGCAGTGACTCCGAGCTGGAGGGGCATTTTGCTGCCGCTGTCTAAAAATAGCCACCAGGCCATGGGGACTGCCTGGCATGTGATGCTAGCTTTTTGTTATTTTTCAGATTGCAAAATTGGAGGGCTGGCCCCTAAGTGGGAAAATCAAGCTTTGCAAAGTAGTGATGATTGCAAATCTTTCATTTCCTTTGGAAAGCATTAGTCACCTATAAGTATGGTAGCTCCCTCACTCCACCCTTCCCTCTCACCCCAAAACACCTCGCCTAACTCTCTCTGAGGCAGTAGTGAGGAGCAGTTTTTATTCATTCTGCTGGTTTTTATTCATTCTTTTATTGAACAGAACAAACATTTCCCCTAACACAGGGCTGGTTCTACTGGGAAAAGCAAAAGTCATAAAAGACCAAGCCACAGCCAGCAGGAGGTTTATGCTTGATAAGTGGAGAGGAGCCACACCTACAAAGTGTAACACAAGATGGAAAGTGATAAATTGTCATAAAAAATGCAAGGAGCCACAGGAACTTAGAGAGAGAAGAGGCTACACCCGGGTGAGCACCGTGGAAAGGGCGTTGTGGACAGTGTGCACTGGGTCTGAGCCCTGAAGGACCAGCAGGATTGGAGCTGCAAAGATGGGAGAGAGTGAACGACAGCAGACAGTCCCAAGTGCAGAACACGTGAGGGCGATGGCCAGCAAATTTTTTTTAGCTGGACCTATTAGTAAGAGAGACTAGTAGGAAATAGCCCTGGCACTACCCACTCCCGGAGGCTTGTGGATGGCAGGCTAGAGGTAGCCTGGCACGGTATAGATGGGGAGAGTTCGTGGCTGCTGTTGCTTGTTTGTTTCTATGAGGCAGGGGCAAGAGTGGGATGTATTAGCACCTTGGCCAATTATGCTTTCAAAAGTCAGTCTTGACAATAGCACTTGAAATGGGTTGGAGTGACAAGAAATGGGAAGCTAAATAAAATAAAGCAATATAAAAATAAAAAGTAGCCAATAGATTAAGTTATCTAGTTGAATCACAATGTCTTGTTCTTCTTGAGCAATTATTTCACAGTTCTAATGGTATGCCACATCCGGGTGCTCAGAGCTCCCTTCTACTGGCTGGAGGTGGCCCAGTCTTCTGAGACCTCCATCCCTAGTGAGTTCCAGCAATCTGCTGAGTGCTCACATACACCCGTGTTGTACACTGTCCTGATCTGAGTGCACACAGATGGCAAAGCCCAATTCCCAGCCTCCCAGGTCCATCCTCTCCACCTGGCACTGCATTAAGGTTAGCATGCTGCTCCCACTGCCGATGATGCCAACATGCCATTACTGTGAGTCTCCTCTGCTGGTGGAGGTAGAACAATGCCACGGGCCACAGAAGAACCCCAGCTGGCCTGGAGAGCACCATCACCTTGCTCTTGGTAGACCAGAAGCCTGCTGAGGCCATAGGTGTCTCTGCTAGTGTGTCAGGTGTTGCGTGCCAAGCACAAGGGTCCCGCAGATATGCCGCTATAACCCAGCCCTGGGGGAGACATTCGTAAAGCCAGTTCCCAGTAGCAGTCCCATACTATGCTCTCTTGAGTGAGGGTCCTAAGCAAAGCTTCCTGGGCCCCCAGGTGTAATAATCTTTCAAAATCATGACCCATTTACACGTACACACTTACACATCCTACCCTGAGAATATATTAAAACTGTCAAGGACTGGATTAAGCTGAGTTCCAAGACCTGCCACCTTGGCACACCCAGCATCAATAGTACCCTTCTTCTCCCAATAGTGTGTGATGGGGAATTCGCTTCCAGAGCCCTATCCTTTCCTGAAATATGCCTTTCATCTGGGGCCAGCCAAGTGAACCATAGTTGTATAACCTCAAATCTCAGTGAGGATTGGAATCCAGCCCCATTTTCCACAGAAGGACTCTTCAGCCCTCATGTAAATTAATATGTGAAAATAAAAGGAGGCGACATACGTGTCCTTTTTATCACCATTTGGGGTCCACTTCAGCTGGGATGCAAACTGAAAAGGGGTGGAGGTGGGGGGACTCAGAGAGGAAAGGGTTATCTGTGTTTCTCAGGCTTCCTGTCCAAACCCAGCTCCTGTTCAACCAAAATGCCCTGAACAGAAACTAGAAACAATAACAGCTGGGAGAGGGTAACAGCTGTACAATCAGAAATGAGAGACACATTGTTGAAGTAACAGAATGTTTTGTGGATTAATTAACATGTCTCAGGCAAATGAAAAGGAAAAGTTAAGGCTAATTCAAAGAATTTTAAGTTAGTGGACTGGGAAAGATGG